AGGCCTACGCTTCCCACGCCATCCAGACAGACTCACGGCTGTTTGATGGGCACCCTGACTGCTGGTGATACACGCTCAGGCCTAGTAAACAACCCTGTTCTGATCAGCCTTAGTGTCCCTCACTTTTCAGGAATAATTCCAGCTTTCCCAAGTGGCAATGCCATGAACCCATCCAACTAGTCATTTGCTTTGTCAAAAACTACTTCTGCACCTACCCCATGCAAGGCATCCTGCCAGACACTGAGCCATCATTAATCTAAGACTGGAAAAATTACCAACCGGAAGCCACACGCCGTCCTTCTATGTCTGCCAAAGCACAGGGTCCCGGCCACACTAAAACAGGAGCAGACATGTGAACAAATGCTGTCTGCTGTCCAGCCTAATTCCAGCTTCTTGACTACCTCTGTGTTTAGATTCACCCATCCAATCCTTAGGAAAAGCGGAGTCTGGGAACGCCGCCTGTTAAGAGTGTGGAGGGCTCAGCTGCGCCGCGTTAAGGCACCTACACTGCACCCCACTGGACGAGTGGGGGCGATGGGAAGGGAAGGATGAGAAAATCTAAAGCCTGAGTGACCACCCAATTCCTCCCTCCGTGGCCTCCTCCCACTTTACCTCTTCCCCCTTCTGTGCTCTCTGAGGCCAAACGGAACACTTATTTGGGGCCCACTATGTGCTGAGTCCTAGTGCCAAACAACCTCTAAGCCACGAACTCAGACCTTTGCTCAGCACATGCCGTTCCCACTGCCTGGAACCCACTTCCTCCATCTGCACTCATATGACAGCTTACACATTACCTCGTCAGAGACCTGCCTGCCCAGGTGAGAATGACCTCATGCTCCCCCACAGCCCCTGTGACAATTATAATTGCTGGTGTGTTTGACGCCTCTCTCCCCAGCTGCACTCAACTCGTGCAGGCAGCTCCCCACAAACTGCCCGGCACACAGGCCTGCGATATCTCTTTCTCAAATAAATTAAACAGCCTGTAAGGTAACAGCACGAGCATGTCCTGTGTGCCAGGTACCGAGCTGAGCTCCGTGCAGACATTAGGTCACGACAGCCACATAATGGCTGCACTATCATTATTCCCAGTTTACAGATAAAGGAAAGTGCATTTTCCCCCTATTTTTAAAGAACTTTCCCAAGGACAGGCCTAACAAGAGCAAGCATTCCCTCCCCAGGTCACCAGGACTGAGAAACCCACTCCCTCCCCTCTCCCTCCTTCTCCCATGCTCCTGGTAACCATCTTTAACCTCTTTCTGAATTCTCAGCCTTCTATCCCAAGGCACCCAATTCAGAAGTCTCCCCCGACTGCTCCCCTCACATCCTACACTCCATCATCCCCCACACCCCAGCTACCACGTCCCCCTTGGCTGTGCTTCAGCAGCACTCTGCAAAGACCCCAAGTGGAGCACATCCAACCCCACAGCCTTCAGCCCTGCAGGGAGGGATGAAGTCTTACTCGTCACACTCCAGGGTGACTAGCATGCAGTTGCATCAAATGCTGGCCAGCCCAACCACCCAGCAAAGTAGGTATATAGAGCAGGTAAGTCCCCAACGAGCTCACAAATGAGCCCAGTAGTCAAACCCAGCTTCCTTGGCTCCAATTCCTGCTCTGTCCACCGCTCCCTTCTGCCTGTATCTACAGAGCTGATGACTCAGGGGCACGGATCACAGGCAGCCACCACAGCTCTCAAATGCATCCCATGTGGCACAAGAAGCCAGTGAGGACCCGCAAGACCTAGGAGAACCAGGAAGAACGTTAATCCTTAAAAAAAGTTCCAGCTCAGTGGAGCCAATTTCCAGCTGGTGAAAGAGGCCGGTTATAGAGCAGACGACATTACAACAGTAGGCTTCAGAGCCTGGCCTGGGTCATCCAGGGTTTTCAAGACCAGAAGCTGCTAGAAGGAGAAAAGAAAGGCAGCAGAAACTGAAAAGGGTGCCAGGGACCGAGGGAACACACACGAGGGGGGGCTGGATCTTCTAGGAGTTACTTGCGGGAAGAAGGAAGGTAAAGGGTAATCCTGCCCTGTGACGCGTGGCTAAGCACTTCCTTTCTGAAACTTTGAAGGGCTCCCTGTTGGCCACACTGGGATCGAGTTCAAACTCCTTTGCAGGCCTTCAAAGGTCTTCATGACCCAGCCCCAACACAGCCACATCTGAGAGGTGAGGCATTCCAGGCCTCCACGTGGGCCCGAGGTTCCCTCTATCTAGAAAGCACTCCTCTTCCTCCAGGGGTTGAGCACCCCTCACCCTTCGGGGCCAGGAAGACTTCTGGCATGCCCTAAGGTTAGTGGGGGAAGGGCTCTGAGGTCAGACTGCCTGGTTCAAAGCTGGGCTCCACCAGCCAGCTATGTGACCTCAGCACCGTTTTGACCTTGGCTGCCTCCTCTGCAAAATGCAGAAAGTGACAGCCCCCATCCCACTGGATGGTGGGAGAAAGAAACAGTAATTCATGAACGCGCTTTGAACTGTGCCTGGCACACAGTAAGTGCTCAATAAACGGGCTGTTGTTCCTATTGTCCTCTGGGCCCCTTTAGGGCCCTCTGTCTGTCCCACAACTAGAGCACTGCCTTGCACATATTTGTTACACGTTGGGCTTCCTCAACCAACCGCAACCTTTTAGAGGGCATGACCCATGACTCTGGCCTCTCCTCCCTGAGGCCCTGCACATGGAGGGCAGCAGTCAGTCCTCGGTAAGTGCTACTGCCTGCTCTACCTTGGCAGACCCCACACAGCTCTCCCAGGGCTCAGCTGCTGGCCTCCCAGAACTCACACACCAAATCCCCCTTCTAAAGGCCCTGAGCATTTGCTGTGACTCCTTTTCAAAACAATAAAGGGCTGTACCCTGCCTTGCTGAGGCTGTTTCCACTCCAGGGAATTTACAGAGAGAAATGAGCACAGCAGGGACTGGAAATAGCACTGAGCCCCTCTCCAGGAGAGGGCTGGGCAGGCCAGCCAGAAATCAGGAGCAAAACCTCAAAGACAGAGTGGGAGCAAACAGCCTCAAGACAGAAGCCCAAGCTCACAGAACTCAGCAACACGTGAACTAGGACAAGTGGATCACTCACATCCGTGCTGCCTGGAGGCTCTTCTTCCCACCCAGTTGGAGAGAGTTAGAAGGGGCTCCTTGTATAATCCGCCACCATCATGGGAGCAACTTACAAGACACCCAGAGCCCTGAGGACCACACAAAGGCACCTCAGATTGCCCACGGCTTTGGGGAGAATTCACAGTACCTTCTCCACCCACACTGGCTATCTGGGCTGTGTATCTGGATTGGGTCGCCATCAATGTCCATCTCCCCAGCAGACTGGGAGCCCCTAGAAGGCAGACACATGGTCCCATTTATCTTCAGACTTCTATGTCCCTAGCATGGTGCCACACAGTAGATGCTCAATAAGTTACAAGGCAAGAAGATCTGGCAATAAGAGAGAGGTCCTGATTCAAGGAGTGCACCCAGGCCAGGCCTGCCACGAATAGTAGACAAGCAAGTCATGAATTTCCTCTGGGCCTCAGTTTTCCTCATCCGCAAAGAGGGATAACAACAGTTCCTTACACAGCCGCTGTGAGAATGACCTGGGAAAATATTAATATATGTGGAAAGCCTCACATAAAGCCTCATACAAACATCAGTCATCCTTCAAACTTCAACACAACTGTCTTCTTTCACTGGAGTCTTTTCTGCTGGCCACATTCCCCTCCCCCAGCACCGAACCCACCTCTGTCCTCCTTCTGCTCCTTTGTTTTATGTTTTTCACATCATTATGATCACTTGTGTCCAAGGCCGATTCCCCACAGCCTGAGAGCTCCTCGATGCCTGGGGCATCATGTGTTTATGTCCAAGTGTGCACACAGGCCCGGCTGCAGAGACTCTCCCACCCCACCGACCCAGGTCCCAAGCTTAGATGTGCCAGAGCCTAGGGGGCCCACCAAGCATGCTGAAAAGGAGGCGGGAAGGGACGCTGCAAACATAACCTGTCAAGGAAGTCACACCTCTGAGACCTGCGCTGCCTCTGCAGGTGCAGGTGAGCTTGTTTGCCTGCCTGACTGCAGTGCACAGGCCTCCAGGGCACAGATTGCTGCTTCTTCCCTTACAATAGCACCAGGCAGTCAGATAAATAATACATGGCCTTCACCTCACACACAGGTATCAAGCATGCAAACACCTGCTTTGCCCCAAGATGCCCTGGAAGACAGGGAGGGGTGAAATGTCTGGCCTTATACAACCCCACCCCCAAGAAGGGATATGGACAGGAAACCCATGCCCAACCCCCAGCCTCGCTGCCTTGCCATGGCCTGGAGCCACCTAGGACCTAGATTCAAGTAGATCCAAGCAAGGTACCCAGAGGTGTGCCCAGAGGGGAAATGTAAAACCCACAGAAAGGATACACACACCAAAGACCAGTCTCTATGGTCCCTCTGGAGGCAAACATCCTTGGAGCCCCAGGTTCCAGTAGGTCTCCCTCCAACACGTTCACGTGTGTGCAAGGCGTGGACACTCTCCATTCACCATGCACCCCGACGGCCTCCCCGGCCAACCACCCTCCAGGTCACCGCCACCCGCACAGGGCACCGGTGCCTCCCCCACGAACTCGGCCGTGCCAGGCGCCAGCACACCCACCCGGGCGGGCGCACACGGTCCCACTTGCAAAGGGCCTGTCCATCCACCGCCCCTCTCCCCAGCCACCCCCAGGGGCAGATCCGATTACACTCCAGGCGCGGCCCCCGCCACGTTGGCGTGAGGGGAGCGGGCACACCCACGGGCCGCCCGCGACCCCGCAGGGCAGGCAGGGGCACAGGGCGGGAGTCGGGCGACGGACGCCTCCTCCCAGCTGGGCCAGGCCGCCGTCTCCGTACCCTCCGCGCCCCGGACCCGCGGCCGGTGCAACCGCGGGGCGCCCCCCGCAGCGGCCTCTCCAAACCGGGCAGCCCCCCGCGCCCGGGAGTCCGCAGCCGCCCCCTCGGGGCTCCCGCGCGAGGCCGGCCGGCGGGCGGGATACCTCAAGAGCCCATGGCGGCGGCGTGTGCGGGCGACGCGCGGTGGCCAGACGCTGCGGGCGGGGCGGGCGGGCGGCGCCGCAGCCCCGGAGTCTCGGCCGCCGCCGGCGCGTCCCGGGCCCAGCGGAGTGCCGCCGCGACGCGCCTGCGCACTGGGCGCGCCGCCGGGGAGGGCGGGGCCGCGAGCCCGCGGCTGAGATCACCGGCTGGGCCTTAAAGGGGCCGCGCCCCAACCCCAGCCCGCCGCCCCGCGAGTGGGGCCACCCGGGTGCTCTGCTGCTCGCAGAACCCGGCAAGACCGGCCCCCAACCGCACCCACCACAGAGCTTCCTGGGGTGCAGGGACTGAGCCTGGGCTCCCATCTCTGTCCCTAACCCTCGATGGCTGTGCGGCGCTTCACTTCTCTTAACCCTAATTTCCTTCATTTGAGCCTGTTTTAAAGATGAGGGAAAATACAATGGCTATTTGTCGAGCGGAGGATGCGTGTGGAATTGTGGAACGAACGTCTACCGGGTGTTGTGTGCAGTTACTCGAGATGAAATTGCAAAGCACAGAAAGGGGCTTTTCCTTCCCACTCCACTGAGCAGCGCCCACCCACCGCACTCCAGGCGGCCTCGCTAGCACAAGAATTCAGATTCCCTTCAAGCCGCCCAACCCAGTTCTGTTAGCCAGGTCCACACCTCACCTGGGTTCACTGAGAAACAAAATGCAATCAAGTTCTGGCGGTGACGAGCTCAAGATCCCCCAAAGTACTTAAGTCTCCAACTCAGACTTTCCCCCTGAACTGTCTACTCGGCACGTCACCCTTGGAGGCCTAACAGGCGTCTCAAAGCCAGCGCGTGGGCATTGAGCCCACCTCGCCTTCCACAGCAGAGAAACCTGCTCACCTCCGCTCTCCCTCCACCAGCTCTTGGCAACTCCATCCTTCCATGCCAGAACTTGGAGTCATCCTTGAATCCTCCTCCTGTCCCCTACCCACTCAGGCCGGCAGGAAATCCTGTTGACTTTGTGTGCAAAATAGATATAGGCTCTGACCTCTCCCACTCCACCTCCATGCCACCACCCTGGGCCTATTTCTGCCCAGGATTATTGCAATGTTCTCCGTTTCTCCAATCTTGCCCTCTGATCCAGTCAGTCAATATAGGAGTCAGAGATTATTTTAAAACCCAAGTCAAAACATGGTACTTCTTTGCCCTCCATTGGCTCCTATTTCACACCCATTTCATGCCAAAGTCCTTATGAAGCCTTGATCTGACAGTCACTGCCCAGGCAAACCTGACTTCATCTCCTACTCACTCTTCTGTCCTTCCACCCTGACCCCTTGCTGTTCCTAGAACAAGCACAGTGCGTTCAGCCTCAAGTCCCTTGCACTGGCTGTTCCCTTTGCCAAGATCGCTGTTCGCCCAGATACCTGAATGGTCCCTCCCTCACCTTTTTCAAGACTTGGCTCAAATGTCCCCCACTCAGTGAGGCCTGCTCTGACCACCCTAAAATTGCCAAACCCTGCACATGCACTCCCTATTTCCCCTTTATTGTGCTCTATTTTCCCCATATCACTTAATTTTTATCATATATAGTTTGTCTATTTTACTGCTTGTCTTCTCCCAGTAAACCGTAAGTTCTATGAGGACAAAGATTATCATCCTTTCATTTCCTCATGTGATCCCAGAACTCAGTACACGGGCTAGCACAGAAAACATGCCCCCCAAAATATTTGTAACACAAACAAAGACCCTCTAATAGCAAAGAAAAATTCCTTCTCTGCCTGGTAGGATGTTCTCAGTGCTGTCCTAACAAGAACTAGCCTTATCAATTGCATTGTAATCATTTGTTGATGATTTCCCAGCTCTCTCTCCCATCACACTGACCCCTTCAGGGCAAAGTCCTTGTCCCAGTTGTCACCATACCTGCAATACTTAGTACAGAAAGCTTACAGACCAGCCCAATCTGACATCTGCTGCCACCTCTCAGTGTTCGGGCCAAACTGTACCTGAATTGAGGTTCTTGGTCCCTGCTCCTCAAGGGCATGCTTGGGTCTCAACTTACAGAGGCCCCAGGCTGAGGAGGACAGAGGCAGGTGGTGGGTATTTTTAGGCTTGAGTTGCCAGAAAGGGGTTCAAAGACAGAAAGTCACCTGCCCTGAGTAACATGGCAGATCAGCAGGTGGTACTGGGGGCCCTAGTTGATGCTTCCTGTGGGAGGAAAAAGCCCCCCCCAAGGCCTTTGCTCAGGTTTTCCAAGATGAAGATAAACACCTACCTCCTTGCCCTCAGTTCCTTCCCCCCATGCACCTGCCCATCCCTTCCTTTTTTTTTTTTGGAGACAGAGTCTCGCTTTGTTGTCCAGGCTAGAGTGAGTGCCGTGCGTCAGCTAGCTCACAGCAACCTCAAACTCCTGGTCAAGCGCATCCTCCTAAACTGCCTCACGCCCTCCCCGAGTAGCTGGGACTACAGAGGATGTGCCACCATGCCGCGCTAATTTTTTCATATATATCAGTCCATTTAATTTCTTGGTGTATTTATAGTAGAGACAGGGTTCCTCTTGCTCAGGCGGTTTTTGACCCTGACCTGAGCAAATCCGCCCGCCTGTGCCTCCGAGTGCTAGTATACAGGCGTGAGCACCGCCCCTCACCTTCCTTCTAATCAGCTTCAAGATCTGGTTACTCCTGTCCCCTCTCCTCTCCATGCCAGTGGCCACTGCCCTGCTTTAAGGCAACCTTAATGCCGGACAATTTAGTTTCTTTACCCTGCCCACGCCCTAATGAGAAAAGCCTTTTCTACACTTTCTACCCAGCAAACAGCTATTCTTTCATCAAAGACCAAATTAGATATCATCTTTCATTTCCCTCTTTTCTTTTTGCTTTCTTTCTTTCTTTTTTTTTTTTTTTTTGGACAGTCTCACTTTGTTGCCGGCTAGAGTGCGTGCCGTGCGTCATGCTAGCCACAGCAAACTCAACTCCTGGGCTAAGCGATTCTCCTGCCTCAGCTCCAGTAGCTGGGACTACGGCATTGCTCCACATGCCGGCTGATTTTTTTTTTATTTATTATTATATAAGTTGGCCATTATTTTCTTTTATAGTTAGAGACGTGTCTCGCTCTTGCTTCAGGCTGTTTGCTCCTGACCTGAGATCCAGCCCGCCGTGCCTCAAGAGCTAGGATTACAGGGGGCCACGCGCCCGGCTCTTCTTTTTTAATACAGGGTCTCAGGGTCTTACTCTGCCACCCAGGCTAGAGTGTGGTGGCTTCATCCATCATAGCTCATTGCAGCCTCCAACCGGCTCAAGTGATCTTCCTGCCTCAGCCTCCCATGTAGCTAGGATTATGCTGGCTGGCTTGTCTTTCTTCTTTTGCTTCTTTCTTCTTTCTTTCTTTCTTTCTTTCTTTCTTTCTTTCTTTCTTTCTTTCTGACTAGGTCTCACTATGTTGGCCAGGATGGTCTCGAACTCCTGGCTTCAAGTGATCCTCCCACCTTGGCCTCCCAAAATGCTGGGATTACAAATATGACCCACCACACTCAGTCTATTCCCAACTTTTTGTTAGAAAGAAACTAATTAAAACAGAATGGAGGCTGATGATATGATTTTATATCTAGAAAACCCCAAAGACTCCATCAAAAGACTCCTGGAATTAATAAATTCAGCAAAGTCTTAGGTTACAAGGTAACCTGAAGTACACAAATCAGTAGCATTCCTATACACCAATAACAGTCAAGCAGAGAGTCAAATCAAAGACTCACTACCATTCACAGTAACTACAAAGAAAATAAAATACCTAAAAGTATACTTAACCAAGGAGATGAAAGATCTCTACAAAGAGAACTACAAAACTCTAAGGATGCAGATGTCACAAATAAATGGAAAAACATATCATGCTCATGGATTGGTAGAGTCAACATTGTTCAAATGTCCCTACTACCCAAACTAATTTGCAGATTATATACAATGCCCGGTAAAATACCAACCTCATATTTCACAGATCTAGAAAAAATATTTCTACACTTCATTTGGAACCAGAAAAGAGCCTGAATAGCCAAAGCAATCTTAAGCCAAAAGAGCAAATCAGGAGGCATCCTACGACCAGACGTCAAACTATACTACAAAGCTATAGTAACAAAAACAGCACGGAATTGGCACAAAAATAGAGACATAGACCAATGGAACAGAACAGAGAACCCAGATGTAAAACCATCCACATACAGCCAAGTGATATTTGACAAAGCAGACGACAATATACACTGGGGAAAAGAAGCCCTAGTCAATAAATGGTGCTGGGAAAATTGGATACCCACATGCAGAAGAATGAAACAGGAGCCATATCTCTCACCATTCACAAAAATTAATTAAAGATGGATAAAAGACTGAAATGTAAGGCCTGAAACCATAATAATGCTAGAAGAAAATGTTGGAAAAATTCTTCTAGCTATTGGCTTAGGTGAGAATTTATGAATAAGACCCCAATGGTAATCACAGCAACAACAAAAATAAATAAATGGGCTTGATTAAATTAAAAAGACTTCTGCACAGCTAAGGAAATAATCAACAGAGCAAATAGACAACCTACAGAATGAGACGCATTTAATAAAGGGATAATAACAAGAATCTGCAAAGAACTCAGGCAAATGAGCAAGAAAAATACAAACAACCCCATTAAAAAGTGGACAAAAGACATGAACAGAAGCTTTTCAAAAGAAGATAGACAAATGTCCAATAAACATATAAAAAAAAGCTCAACATCACTAATTATCAAAGAAATACAAATTAAAACCACAATGAGATATCACCTTACCACAGTTAGAATGGCTTTTATTAAAAGGTCCAAAAACAATAGATGCTGGCATGGATGCAGAGAGAAAGGAATGCTTATACACTGTTGGTGGGACTGCAAATTAGTACAACCTCTGTGGAAAACAGCATGGAGATTCCTCAAAGAACTAAAAGTGGACCTACCATTTGATCCGACAATCCCACTACTGAGTATTTACCCAAAAGAAAATAAGTCATTTTATCTGCATTGGGATGTTTACTGTAGCACAATTCACAATTGCAAAGATGTGGAATCAACCTAAGTGCCATCAATTCATGAGTGGATTAACAAAATGTGGTATATGTATATACTACAGAATACTACAGCATGAAGAAGGATGAATGAA